TAAATCTGCCAGAAAAAAGATTTAAATGTCAAATAAAACAGTTCTTGCAAAAAAGCTTACTATAAAATTGAAGAATTCGTTAACGATAATAATGTTTTTATAGAAAAACTTTAAATCCATAGCACTGACAATATTATCTGATTACATTAATAATGAGTGCGTAGCGACTTCTATGTTGATTATCGCATGCCTCTTACTTGTTATACTGTAATTATTTATATAAAAAAAAACATCTATTAAAAAGAGCAACACACAAGTTTCTTGCTCGTTCTTCTTGTGATGAATCTGCATTCCGAATGAGTTGTAGAATCAAAATATGACTATTCAAAAGTGCTCTCTCTCGATTTCGATATGTTATTTGAGTAAAATAAAAACTTGACCACGGTAAACAGAGCTTGTGTTATGAGTACTAGACAACTGATATAAATACATAGATACATTTTTATCTAAATAGTCGCCTACAAGTAACTGGTCAGAAAAAATTGTTTCGGTTTAGTATGTACTACCATTTTATTACAATTATTTTTATTCGAATATATTGTTGGGGGAAAGTTGGAAAAATTAATTCAATTTTAGAAATGCTTGACAGGTCGGATGATATTTTTTAGGGGTTGTAAGCGGCCGGCGGGTAGCGTGTTGCTTATGTAGGACATTTTAGCCGCTTATGAACGTCGACTTTTTGTACCTATTAATATTTTTCCTTACCATCCAAACTAAAGTCGTATCCATCTGGAGTTTGCATTCAGATTCTTCATAAATCCTTGCACGGTTTTTGAGTACCCTCTGCACTTGCCTCTACTTTAGTCCATTAAAGCTGTAAAGGCTTGTAAAGTTGCGGGCAAATAGAATACGTAAAGCTCTAATAAAAAAAAAAACCTAATGCAGGGGTGCCTCTTTTGTAACTGGCATCTAATCGAGTTTCCACGGTCGCCTTCCGTGTGGACTGTATTCACTATAAATTAGAGAAGGCAGCAAAGTGTATGTTTCCATTGTCGTCATTTGTCCGTGATTTTTAGATTAAAAAAGAGTGGGAGGGAGGGGGATCTGTGTAAGAACCGCCACTACAATAGTTTGCAGAAAGAGCCGCGAGGAGTTTTTTTTTTATTTAATTCATCAATTAATAATATGTAATGCAATTTGAACGAAATACTGCAATATTGTTATAACTAAATAATTAGACAAAAGACAAAACATATGATTAAATAAAAAAATAAATATTACATTTCAAACAGTGGAGTTTAACATTATTCATTTCGGGCGATGCGGCTAAGGCAATTTGTTCACTGGTGAGGTAATGGAGTGATTGGTTTTAGGGTACAATGGGACTGACATGTACTTAGATGGTACAAAAGTCCCTAAATTTAAAAAGAAATAAAAAGAAACATTATTAATAGTGATACGAATCAGTTTTTACCAGGTGGGATATAAGAGAGGGCTTTGTTAATAATGGGAATTAATGACTCCATTTCTAGCAATATCGTATCCGGTTGACCTCCACAAGGTATCATGCAGATTCTGCCAAACTGTCACATCCTATCCCTCATGTAAAATATCTCCTGGAAAGTTTAATTTGAGGAGATAAAAACCATCGCTCCTAAGAATATCCTTCAATGGACTCTATCTGAAAAGGGCCTAACATCATTTTATCATGCAATAGCCAAACAACCCAATAAAAAAAAAGCATCATTTTGTGTAAATCCCCCATGGAAATCATCATGTACAATTCCTGGTGAATTTGCCGCAATGAACCTTCTGACCTCATCATTTTATCAAGCAGACGGATGGACCATTCTATTATCATTTATTATAAAAAAAATATCTATATAGACACAGACCAATACAAACAAACATAATCGTGAATATAAATATTTGTGTTAAGCGAGAATCAAATTCGCGGCCATGGGAAATAAAGTGATACCTATGCTAATCTACTAGACAACCGACGCCGACTTATCCGAGCGTGTTTAATCTTTTAAATCGTGTCGTACACAACAATGGAAACACACAAAGATGATAATCGTGCTTTACATAATTGTTCCACTTACGCATTATCAAGATGCTCAGATCGAAACAAAACATAAAACATTGCGAACCCGTAACTAGCTCTTAATTAATTCTATCTAATAATTTTGCAAGAGTTTAAGAGCTCTCGAAACTTTGATCTGGATGGTCTTTCTGTGATGGGGAGGGATTTTTTTTAATGTATGATAATGATACACCCGCCTGCGCTAGCGGTTTACGCTGGCGGTGCACCAGTGGAGGATGATGAGGTCAGGTCAGTTTGCCCATCGTGATTAAATAACCAGAAATTAACCACGATGGTTTCCAGGGGGAACCGCGTGGAAGTCGACCTAACATGGTACATTGCTAGCAATGGGGCCACTAGACTAGACTTAGACTAATAACCCCATTGTTGCAATGTAACAGGTTGTCCTCCACGTACCCCCTGGAAACCATCGGGATAAATTCATAATGAATTTACCACGATTAATTAACTGACCTGATCTCATACTCATCTTATCATCCTCCACTGATGACTGGCGCCCTGCCACTGAAGACTATTCAAGACTAAAAGCACAGATAACATGCTAAAAGTATTTTCTAAATCAAACCAGTACCTGGAGTAGTACCACATCGAAATCTCACGAATAGGTCTTTATAAATATTACTATAGCTTTTTAATGTAGAGATGTTGACACATCTCAGACGTTATCACATCATCAGAAGTTACTAACTTCAGTTGCGGTGAATTCGGCCAACTCGAGTTGCAACAATTCAACTGGTAAATGAACGAATCAAGTGAAAGAGCGAGAACATGATTCTGTCGTCGAACCGACAATGACATGAAATTTTCCTATCATTTCATATCATACAATTTTTACTCGTCACAAATGTTTCAATATTGGTTTGAAGTCGTTATCAGTTTTTTTTTCGCATTTTCGTCCGGTTATGTTATAATTAAAATGATTATGCGTTCCATAAGTCCTTCCGCGGCTTTGAAGTGCCATTTCTACTCGCCCCCAATGATTCGGTGAAGCTTTCAAGGCTAGCTGCGGCCAAAAAGTCGAGTCAACTCGAGTTACCTGAAAATAGTTATGTTTATTACGAGTTAGCACATCTCTATTTTAATGCACGCCATCTAGCGAAAAAACTGAGAAAAAAGCGGTACTATCATCGAGAAACTTTACACGTGTCGTTTTTTCCTTTGACTAGCGCCGCGGTCTTTGTCGCTCTAGGCGGCTTTTCCTTTGGACACACGCCGAAAGTACCGAAAACCACGCCGTGCCGAACCCACTGCGCCGGACGAGAAAACAGTGACACAATGTAGGTGGTCACAAATTATAAAAAATATATATAATGTACATTAATACGTGAAGTAAAAACTTTATAGGTACATTATGAAAAGTGTGAGATACTTTACCATTGATGTAATACGTGCCCACATTTGTTATTTTAATACTCCAATAAAGCTTATTATGTGTATAATAAATAAGTAGGTGATAATTGAAGAATTCGTTAATAATAATAATGTTTTTATAGAAAAACTTTAAATCCATAGCACTGACAATATTATCTAATTACGCTAATAATGAGTGTGTAGCGATTTCTATGTTGATTTCGCATGTCTCTTACTTGCTATTGTGTAATTATTTATATAAAATAAACATTTATTAAAAAGAGCAACACAAGTTTCTTGTGATGAATCTGCATTTCGAATGAGTGGTAGAATCAAAATATGACTATTCAAAAGTGCTTGTAATGAGTTTATGTGAATAAAGATTATTTCTACTTCTAAAATTATCTTGTCATTTATGGTGTTTTTGTATATAAACAAATAAACTTTATTCATTACAAGCACTTTTAAATAGTCGTATTTTGTTGGACTACCACCCTTTCGGAACGCAATTTGCTCATTACAAGGAGAATGAGAAAACTTGTGTGTTGCTCTTTTGAATAGATGTTATTAAAAATAATTAATTACACAATAGCAAGTAAGAGGCATGCGATAATCAACATAGAAACGCATTAATACTGAGTGTAATCAGATAATATTGATAGCGCTATGATATTGAAGTTTTTCTACAAAAACATTATCATGTACAAACTGTTCAATTTTAGAAGAGGTGTTTTTAAATTAAATTTAATTATTTAATGAAAATAATCTTTAATGCAATTTTCATTGAACTAAAAGCTGTAATATATATCTTATTATAATTAAATAATTTGATACAAGACAAAATATATAATAAATTAAAAATTCCTTTTTTTTTTCATTTGACCTAATTCGCTCCACTGGGACTCCGCTTTAATATCGCCGACTACATAATTTTCGCACCGATATATTTTTATTTTTAAATTCATTTCATATTCGGCAGCCGAACTGAATACTTGTGCATATTTTTTTGACTATTAAATAAATACATTGTGTAATTTTACAATATTATTTAGATAATATATTTAATTATTCATATTGCGTGTTATTAAAAATCATTACCAATGGTAAGTATAACTAATTTGTGTAGGTATACCCTATTTACAAAATACAGTTCTCCATACATTTCTATTATATTCAGATCCTTGAATAAATTATTAATTGTTAATCATAAGTCCACGTGTTTACTAAATAAAAGTATTTCTTTCATTTTGGAATATGTCGCAGTTTTGCGACTGTATTCCCCTCTTCTTAGTGACTCCTTTTAATTTTAATGTGTTACAAAAAATATTCAATATCCCGTTTATATATGTACAATTATTAAATATATGATATACTGATATATTTTTTGTAGAATGTATTTATTTACGGAGCGTAATTAATTTTGCGTAGTAACTACGTCACTTCCTTTATTTCATTCATAAAAAAATATATTTAATGCCGGAACGGAAATGCACGGCTGGTGAATTGAGAATTGAAAAAATCAATTACGTAAACATTAGGGAAAATGGATTTTAAGTTATACGCATGTAATTTAATATGATATTGTTGTGAATTTCAGTTGAAAATGTTCCCGTCCAAACCTGTGGTTGACTATATGGACGAAATTTTTAGATTATTTCCAAGGACAACAGAAAATGGTAAGTTACTCATTCGAATAACATTAATTATCTTATCTGTAGTGAGTAAAAAAATCTAGTTCTTTTGTTTGGTTAGAAATAAAAAAAAATAAAGCCAAAAACAAAGAGGTCCAGTTATTATTCGCACAAAAAAATCCCAATAAACATGTATCTCTCAAACCCTACTTCGGATGAAAATATCATTTCACCGAATTATCGTCACGCTAGATTACATAAAGTGGTATATGTTGATTTTCCAGTATAATAGTCTTTTCTTGGATACTATCTGTTAGCCCCAACGCCACTCGCATAGAAATATCTCGTACTGCAGTATCATATAATTATTCGTAACTCATTAAAACATAACTTGCGATACATTCCGATGTTTTTCATATAATTTATTTGCTACAATTTTTTTTTTTTAATTTTAATTTTCCCAACTAAAAGTTATGTTTTCTCTAAACACCACATATTGCATAAGCAGCCAGGGACATATTATTAACATATAAAATGTTCTCTATCTGGATGTCTTTCACATATTTATTAAATAATTTTATAGCCAAATACATGTTGTTTATGTATACTAAGTTTTACTTTAAGGGATGAGTCTACTTGTGTTCTAACTGGGTGCTTAAAATACAGGTAGTATCTATGGCATGCATGGCTGTTTCGGTATTGTCTTTGATTATAGTTTATAAAAATTAAAGAAAAAATTAATCAAGGCAGAGTTAGTACTTTGTATCCTGAACAACTGATAAATTATATTTAAATATATTATCTTCATAGGAAAATACCTTGAACAATACAAATAAGCATGCTCAAATTTTAAATTCTAAATTCAATAATAATTTATTCATTTATGACATTTTAGCTGCTTATTGATGTCAAGTTTTTTGTAATATTTTTTCCCTACCATCCAGTCCAGTATATGGATGCAATTGAGAAAAACCAACAAGAAACTCAAGTTTTTAAAACCGAGTCTATGTATGTCTAACATTATATAAAAAGCCTGCATGGACAATTATGTTATGCACATTTGTTATTTAAGTTTTAAGTATTTGTAATCTGTTACATGTCTTAATTTATTTTTCAGACTTACTCTCATCACCACCCACATACAGTACCAGCTTTCTATCTTCTCCAATAAGCTCAGGCGCTGTCAACAGATCTTCCAGTTCAGCTGATTCCACATCCCCCGAATCATTTCCCCATATTTCCAATTATCAATCACCTGACTTAACAATTGCACATCAAAGCACATCCCCTGATACTCCATTTATACCAAGATACCGTCCTATTGTTGGTAGAAAATACCCAAATACCAAACAGCCAGCCTATCATGATGTAGTGGATACACCTGCATATCCCAACACATGGGACAGAGACCAGGAACTGGCTATCTGGCAAAACGATGAATTCACATTCTCCCAAACACCACCAAATAATCCCATGTTTCATGAGCTAAGGAATGTCACACCGAATACATACTATGAACTTTTTCCACCAGAGAAAAAATTCGAGAATAAAACTCCTGTCAAATCTAGACATCCAGTCAGTTCTTGTAATACATCACCAAATTTCTCCCAAATGAGTGAGATGTCTCCTCGTCGTTCTCCCATCATTCCAAGTCCAATACGATCCAATGCCATTGCTATTTCACCAATGTACAGTGTGGCTCGCTCATCAAATTCTCCCTCAGGCGATACAAAAGTGTGCACATTTTGCCGGAAAAATGGGGAAACTCCGGTCGTGTATATGACGCATACTGTTAAGGAGAAAATTGGGAATACCTTTATTGTAACCTGTCCCATTTTAAGATCACATGTTTGCTCAACTTGTGGTGGTACAGGGGATAATGCTCATACTATGTAAGTTAATAACAATCATTATTTCATTTATAAATGTGAAAGCAACTGTCTGTCTGTCGCGCTTACACGCCAAAACTACTGACTCGCTTAAATGAAATTTGGTATACAGACTCTCTAAACCCTGAGAAACACTTTTTTTTTCATTAAAAAGCCTATAATGATATAGGCTTTTTAATGAAAAAAAAAAGTGTATACCGATGTGTATGTGTAAAATAAAATAGAGAATTAAAGTTTATATAGATATTTTTTAAACTAGAATGATTAAACTTTTATTTGGTCAAGGAACTATTCTACGTGGACGAAGTCGCGGGCACAGCTAGTTAAAATTATAATAGGTATGCAGTCACGACTGTTATCCCCGATGGGGTAGTTAGAGCCATTGTCAATTGTTGACATTATGGTGAACGCAAAGTTATGCCCAAATTTAACTGGGTATATTTGAATGCAGCGTAGCAGGTGGTCATGCTACGCCCATCTCTTGGAATATAATTGCATATTATCCTAGTTTCCTTCACTGGAAAATTGATTATCTTTTATGCATTATAATGGAATGGTGTACAGTCTACGCTGGTGGGCCACCAGTAGACGATGATGAAAATGAGGTCAAGTCGGCTTGAAGTTTCTGGTTCATCCTTTGTAGCTGAATCTGCATTAAGTATAGGAATTGAATAAACAAATGACTATTCAAAAGCTCTCATATCATGTTTATTTGAATAAATATTTTATTTATAATATAATAATATGAATAACCAACATATATATATAAAAAATATATTGAAATGTGCAGAATAAACGCTTTATCTTTGTGTGTTAAAGTTATAATAATAAATAAATAACTAATACACTAATTCTATTTAATTATATTACAGAACCTACTGTCCAGTGCTTCGCAATAGAAACAACGGACAACCACTACAGTCCACCACCATAACGCTGAAAAACACACGCATCAAGAGCAACGGTAGAAAAAGATATTAATTTTATTGTCTATGACAGCTTATACAATTAATTTACTAACTGCATACTCTATATCCAAAGATTATATTATGTGCCAAGAATGTCATTGCATCTAAGGGACCGTTCAAGTATTACATAAGCACTAACCCCCGGTGGGGGTAAAGAGCCCCCACCGGGGGTTAGTGCTATGTAATACTTGAACTTTTGCTTATTTTGGATAACATGGGGTGTAGGGGAGTCTAGATGATGATTATATCATCGGTAGTTAGTTACTTTTTTACACGAATGGCAACCCTCACATAGTCCTTGCTAAAAAAAGCAATACATTAATTGAAAAATGTTTACGTACTCATGGGGGAGGGGGTAAGAGTTTTGCTTACTTTTGCTGACAAGGGGGATGGGGGGTAAATAATTGTAATAAATCTGCTTACGTAATACTTTAACGGCCTTTAAAGTCTTAACTTATCAATTCTAAGTAGATAAGTTCTATTCACGTATATAACTGGACCTAAAGGGTATACCAAGCCTCAAGGTATACAATTAATGAAAATGAAACTGCACAATCTTCCTCAAAAAAATCGAGTGTAATATGTTTTTTTTATATTTATACAAATTGCGAAATTACAGGATTAATTTAGACTTTACATAAAACTTAAAACAAAGTCACAGCTGCCTGTCTGTACGTTTAGATCTTCTAAATTATACAGCTGGGTTTAATGTGTTTTAACAATAAATATCATTCAAGAGTAAGGTAGACAAAAACAGCCAAAAAAATGTTTGTATTGCACCCATTCGAAACCGGAACAGATCACTAATCATTACATAGTATAAAACAAAGTCGCTGTTGCTATCTCTCTGTCCCTATGTATGCTTAAAACTTAGAAACTACGCAACGGATTTATATATACATATAATATATGTACACCAGTGCGAAACCGGGACGAGTAGCCAGTAATATTATAAAGAGGTAAACACTGAGTTTGTATGTTAAGAGTAATCCTCGGGAGTACTGAACCACTTGGAATAATCTTTTTTTTTTGTTAGATCTCTTATTTACCTAGTATAGTAATGAAGCTGCTATAAAATGTTGCTAAAATGATCGGCTAGTAATAAATTCAATTCAAATACATATATATATATATATTTATGTCATATTTCCACTTTGTTTCTGGATGTTAGTTTCTTAGTTAGTCTACCTTTGACTTGGTATACCATTAACAACTATAAATATATTGTCAAAAAAATATGACTAAAAGATGAGTTCAGTCTGAAATATAATGTATAAATATTACAGAAATTAATTAAATAATGTGTTCCAAAAATGATCTACGATTCTAAGCTTATCTATATGCAATAACAGAATGAAATAGTGCTTAATACAGTATTATTGGCATGTAATACTAACATTCAAATACTATACTAATGATTTTCTAAAACATACTAGCATTGTTATATCAGATTGAAGTTGACTTTGCTTTTATAATGAGTACAAAATTTCATTATGAAAAAAAATATCATCTTGGTTTTAATAGTCAGTATAAATTTCAAAATATAGGCTTAAAATTGGCTATATAATATGATCATCACCGTGATGTTGATGATCTAATATGATATTTGTCAATAATGATAATTATAATATAGATATTTTGATCTGTGGCTATATCAAAAGTTGACATTAATTACTTTATTATTATATTGAGTACAAAATTTTCATTAAAACAATCGACTTGATTTTATAGTCAGTATAAATTTGAAAATATATGTGTTTAATTGGCTATAGTATATAGTATATTTGACAATAATTATAATTATAATTTAGGTATTTTGATCTGTGGCATTGAAATTAATGACTTTATTTTTATTGACTACAAATTGTCATTACGAAAATAAACATCTTGGTTTTATGGGCAGTATAAATATGGAAATATATGCATAACAATTTATATATAATATGATATTTGACTTTAGGTCATTATTCATTTAGTTATTTTGATCTGGGACTATATCAATGTTTAAAGTTAATGACTTTATTTTTATATTGACTACAAAATCTTCATTATATTAAAATCTACTTGGTTTTATAGTCTGAATAAAATCTTAATATATTTGTATAACAATTTATGTATAATGTGATATTTGACAATAATGATAATTATTATTTAGGTATTTTGATCTGGGACTATATCAATAGCTGAAGTTAGTGACTTTTTTATAGCGACTACAAAATTGTCATTACGAAAAATAAATCATGGTTTTATGGACAGTATAAATTTGAAAATATTTGCGTAACATTTTATACACAATATACATTTGACAATAATGATAATTATAATTTAGTTGTGTAGTTATATAAATGATATTTATATGTTTTAAATAATTTATGTTCTAAAAATTTTACATGGTTGCAACCATGTAAAAATTTTGACATGGTTTTATGGAAATATAATTATTTTCGATTCATACAGTTTTATGCTAAGAATAGAATATAAGTTTCATATTACTGACTTTATGTATAATTTTACGTTACTAGTTAGAACTTTGACAAAGTAGTATTTATATACTAACTAGGTTACTTTTTTTGTGTTAAGAATAGAATATAAGTTTTTATGACTAACTTTTTATGTATAATTTTACGTTACTAGTTAGAACTTTGACAAAGTAGTATTTATATACTAACTAGGTTACTTTTTTATGTTAAGAATAGAATATAAGTTTTATATGACTAACTTTTTATATATAATTTTACATGTTACTAATTAGAACTCTGACAAGATAGTATTTATACAACTAGGTTGCTCATGAATGATCAAAACAGGGTATTACAAATAATTGGAACTAACTTGACTTCAAATATATAGGTAAGACATTTCACTTACTTTATATACAATTTTTATATCATGTATACTATAGCCTCATGAGTAATGTGCCTTATAGTTTATTATTTTTATTTTATTCCTTGACAATTATGACAATAATAATCATATTTTTATATTACCATTTTTTTATTCTTTTGATTTGACGATTATTAAATTTATTCTATTGACAATTTTTATTTTTATGAATCTTGACCACATGTTAGTTATAAGATTTTATGTACAATTATGACTGTTTTGCGAAACTTTTTATTTTATACTTTATGGACCATGGGGAAGAACAATTTTAAATCATGTTTTCTATATGACGAATAGTTTCTATCACATTTAATCCGAACATTACCACAAAAATAAGACTTGTTTGATTGTAAATAGTTATAATAAACATACTTTTGTTGATATTTAATTATATCTCTAAAATTAATAAATAAATATTACCAATTTTAGAAATCATTTCATAGAATTGCATTTTAGAACTTTTATTCTTTATTTTTACTTATTATTTTGATAATGTTTTTGTTCTTTTTACTAGTAAATCTAAACAGAAAGTATATTAGAGGGATTGGTCTATTCTTTATGTACATACTAGAATACTACTAATACATGGAAATATGGACAAAGCCTACGGCTATAGTATTGCCTACATTCTTGTTACTGCATGACGTGTATAACAAAATAAAACTTAATTTTAATGTAATTGAGGTAAGATTAGGTAAAAGACGATTTCTTATATAGCTTGTAACTGTTTCTTCGAAATTAAATAGAATAACGCCATCTGTTGTGAAGCTTGAGCAAACGTCGAGTCAAGTTGTTAATTTTGATGATGTATGTTTTAAATAATATTTGTTCAGCTATTAATTCATTAACCTGTTAACCGAGCGGTACGTATTAATACGTCAAAACACTTGCGTATACGTAGGAGCTATGAATACCTACATTTTTTAAATTTATAATCTCAATGTAGGTACAACAAAGATTTTGTATATTCCCTTATTGCTTATAAATAAAGGAAAACATGTTTCATATTAAATCACTACATAGTATAAAATAAAGCCGCTGTCTATCCGTCCCTATGTATGCTTAAATCTTTAAAACTAGGCAACGGATTTTGAAGCGGTTTTTTTTAATAGGTTTATATATATGCATGTAGACCCGTGCGAAGTCTGGGCGAGTAGCTAGTATATATATATATGAAATTATATTGTTCTGTGACGTACTAGCACGTCTTAGTGAAAGTCAATGCCCGTTATATGTTGCGTAATTACTAAATTCCCAGTTAACAGGTTAATTTTATAGTTAGACGAAACACTAATGTTTGTGTCTATTTTAAAGATAATTCTACTTTCGTACGTTGTATTACACTCGAGATTCTGTATGAAATTGTAACGCTTCAATTAATAATATCAGTATGAAATAATTATAATGTGAATTAAAATTATGGTTGATTAGAAAGAAAGAAAATAATGTTTTAGTTTGATTATTTCTCGATTATTAATTATTCTAAATTTGTTGGATTACTTTAAATGTTTTGTACACTGAGTACTTTTTATATTGCATTTGTATTGCATAATTTGATATAATATATTGTGTTTATTCTTATGTTTTTTTTTTCATTTTATTTTGAATTATTTTATGTATGATAATGGAATGGTACAGCCGCTTGCGCTGGTGGGGCACCAGAAGAGGATGATAAGATGAACATGAGGTCAGGCCAGTTAGCCCATCGTGACAAATTCACCAAGAAATCACGACGTTTTTCTGGGGGAATCGCGTGGAAATCTACCTGACATATACATCGCTAGCAATAAGATCATCAGTAAACATTACTAATTTATTTAGTATCTACATTATTAGTGTCAGTTGTCAGGCTTACTTTTAATTGACGTTCATTAATAATACCCTTTACCGGATAGGCTAAATATATTTATGCCAGCTATATATTAAATTCAACGACAAATAAGTCTAATAATAATATCTCAGGACAATTCACACAGCGCCATCTAGACCCAAGTTAGTTAAAGCTTATGTTATGGGTACTAGATAACTGATACATATACATAGATATTTTTTTTGTAAATACATACACATTATACATATAAAACACCCAGACCGATACAAACAATCATACTCATGAATACAATTGTCTGTGCCGTGCGAGGAATCGAACCCGCGACCATCGGTTGTAAAGCGGTGTGCTAGACCGCTAGACCAATTATATAATTGAAGGAGTACTACGGCAGACGTTTTCTATTTTTAGGACTAGTCCATGGTCAAATCATCACAAGCTATTTTCATCTAGTGTAAACGCACGCACGTGCTATTTTCTTTTGTTTCTCTTGAAAATATCTATCCAATTTTTAGTATACAAAATATCCAAGTAATATCCCATTGTGATAAATCAAAATGGCGCCATACGATTGGCCCGTGGATAGCGAAAATTTACCTGTTATGAAAATAGTGACTCCTCGTAATGTGTTAATGTGTGGCATTTATGGAATGTGAGTAATTATTTATTTTACTTTACAGTTAGTTATTCAATCTATTTAATAGTTTCCTAATTTTTGATTTATTATTCTCAAGCTCTACAGAACCTGTACAATTTAAATTTAAATTATCGCGCTGGTCACGAGACACGTTTATAAAGCCTGATTATAGTCTGAGTATACAGAATATTAATAGTTACGTGAATACTGAAAAGTGAAACCATATTATATTAATCATATTTAGAACAACCATGTCTATATTAATATATACAATTATTGAGTAAATAATAACATTAATATTACTTTCTCCGTAGTCTTAAATAAAATAATCAGTCACAGTCTTCGTAAACTGGACACTTTAACAGTATGTCAATCGCATGAATGTAATGTCAGTATCACTTCAATCGCTCAGTTAACTATCATTCTCATCTTATTCTTACTGTCAATCTGTCTGTTTTCTATCTATAATTTTCATTTATAGTTCATTTTTACATTTCAAATTATATCAAATTCTCGGTTCATAAAATACATACATATTTGTTATGGCATAACAAAATTTTAATAAGTTAAAAAAAAATAGTTAAATATACAAAAGACATGAGTTCCAAAAGTGTCGCTTTGTCTAAAACCACGGTACAGAGTGAGAATGCGGGAAATACGAATGAAGATAGTACAAGTCCAGATTTTATTTACGGTGGTCCCTTTATAAAAGTGGACAAACCGGACCCTTTTTTTGATACTGCGACTCCCATAAACTTGCTTCTTCAAGGCACATTCAAGAAGTATGTAATATTTATTACTCTACAATTGATAATTAGTTCTTCAACTTGAATATGGTAACTAACTGATCTGACTGACTTCCTCGTCATACCATCACCTTCCACTAGTGTTCCGCTAGCATATACCTGCCTTTAAGGCAGATAGGAGCATTTTATATAATAAATAACTTGTCATAATTGACTATATGACCAGAAACCTATACCAAGTTTTCTGATCATCCTCCTTTATCAATAATTTTTATGTAGTGAAAAGATCGGGCTGATATTAGTATTATATAATTGATTTATATTTATATATATAATATGAATATCAATTTAAAGTTTACATGTGTATTTTCTTCCATGAATATTTAATTTTTTATATGTTACACCTAAGTAAAGATTTAATTGTGTCAAACATCCTTTGTTTTCAATAATAAAATATATTGATTTATTTGTATCAGTTATCTAGTACCCATAACACAAGTTTTAGCTAGGTTAACTTGGGTCTAGATGGCGCTGTGTGAATTGTCCTGAGATTATTATTTTATATATGTTTTATATATCTCCCTTTTTACGGGGGTTATTATTATTGTTGTTTTTTAACCTTCACCATTTAATTAGTTCATCATTTTTTGTCATTCATTCCCTGCTTGGTAGGTTACCTCACTGAATATTTTTTGCATAATAATTAGTGATAATTGTTATCAACACAGTACTTCTTATCATGTTTATTTACGACCAGCATTAAAAAAATAATATGGAAAACTTTATGACTTATTTACCTACTGTTCATCTGTGTCTATACCTAAAGTATATTGGTATTAGTAATCAGGTAGTAAAATTGCAGGATTGTTCAGGTAGTCCATTTTAAAAAAAGCTATTTATTTACTGTATTAATAGACTCATCTAATCTATGACTCCTTTCTATGTGACATAGACAGGAGGCTGTCAAAAGTTACATTTTCCCATTTTTGCAATATTTTTCTGCTCCATTGCTATTGCTAATAGTGTGATGTTATATAAACTTAATTTTCTAATGAGACATCCTACAATAAAATAATAATTCAATTAAACCAGTATTTCCTGAGACTAGCATTTTCAAAACAAACAAACTTTCTAATAATATAGATTAAATTTACCATCTTACCGTGCCCTGTCTGTGTTACCAGTATAGTCTATTATCTCTAGGACTTAATTTACATTTACACCTGTCAATCTACCCTCAGTGATTAAAAAACAGATTACAATGTCTAGTGCAACATATGTTTTTTTATAATAAAATTTGAGCACATTTTTCCATAATCTCACCTGATGTTATGTAATGATGTGGTCTAAGCTGTGATATGCAAGCTCAGACTGCCTATTCACACTTGACACTTGAAAGACCCAATATTGTAAAAGGCAAGAAAAATAGTTCCTCTGCACTCTATAAGAAATAATATTTATTACCATGTTATTATGGATTAAAATACGTTTAGATTTTAGAATCAGGTTTTTAATATGACAGCTTGTATTGAGGCTTACATAGAATTTAAGTACCGTACATATTTTACTTTTTTGATATAAACTTATATTGAGGGTGACAATGAAAGACACACACAATTATTGTTATATTGTTATACAGCACATGTTTAATACTATATTTCAATTTGTTTTCCAGGAGTTTTGCATATTATTCATTGAAGGAAAGACTGCCAATTATATTAACTAAAATTATAGACTACTTATCTAGAGAAGGTAGTAAAATTAAATCCACACATAAAGCTGTAAGTATTATATGATACTCATTTAATTTACATTCATTTATTACACACATCATAACATATAACAATGTTAAAGCTCACAACAGCATATAAATTGTTATATCATATAAATTGTATTAAATCTGCTCATAACACTTTAAGTATTAAATGATTTAATAAATTAATTAACTTAATTTATTACACAATATATAATGTTATTTATATAATTTAACTTAATTACAACACATATATAACTGTGATAAAGTTCGCAACAGTATATAAATTAAAAAATAAAATTAATATATTGATTTGATAATAAAAAAAAGCGCAATATTGTTTGTCTCTAAGAGATTGCTTTAAGGGATAAGTGTAGTAACTCCTTGATTGATTTTTATATTATTTTGGAATTTATTATCATATAATCTTGATCTATGTTTTTTACATTCTTTTTTTTCTTTTACATTATACAATAAGTCTTCCAGACTGCAAACAGATTTGTTTGTAACATTCTATTATATATTGCTGTCGTATTAGTCGTATTTTCTTTTATCTCCACATTTACCCTCATAAATCCTCAATACCTCTTACTCATCAGGTACATCAGATATCTCCGCTTCAAATGTAATGTTTGTAAAGATTTTTCTGTCTGCAATAATGAGTTATATTTTTAAAGCTAATATATATATCACATTATTTAGCAGGTATACATTTCTGTTTTCAGAATGACGAGGACATAAGGGGTTTCATACAATATATAACAAAGCTCAAGAATGACTTGGTCACCAACAAAAAGTACGACCTCCTCACGGTCGACACGCCGGAAGCCAACAGGTGGAACGAATGGATCAAGGAATCAGAGAGTCCCTACTACTTCACGAATACTTGGGTGTTCTCCGAATGTTATGTGTATAGGAGGCTGCGGGAAGGTTGTGAGTTGAGGTAAATATTTTTTTTAATGGATAATAATGGATTTTTCGACGCCGCCGAACGCCGACGAGGCACCAGTAGATGACCCTGTACAAAATGTGGAACGCGCTATTAAGTGTCTTATCTTTACATATAGAGCAAGAGCCCACGACGGCCAGACATACGTCTTATTAGTAAATGTTAAAGTTTTTGTATGTGTGTCCCCAACAAAGGTAAGAACGATCCTCAAACAGAAACTTGAATCGTGGTTGCTTTTGGTGGTAACAGGTGACAAAGGTGTAAAAATTTTCATATCAAATTAATTATTTTAAGAAACTAAATTTTTTTCATATACTGTTCGTAGCATTATTATAACTTGCGCTGCTCATTGCCAGACACTTAGTATGGTTCCAACCCCCGCCGGACTCTCAAATTATATTATTTTATAAACTTAATTTTAATAAAGCTGAAATTTATATATATTATTCAGAGTACATGCGAAGCTGAGGCAGGTCGCTAGTATATATATAAAACCTTCACAAAACAATGTAAGCTGTTAACAATTGTTTATTTTCTTTACAGCAAAAGTTTGCAAAACTTCGACCCGTTTGATGCTCAAAAGGAACAAGCACTAATGAGCAGCTTTGAGCCGAAGTGTGTGGTTGCAGACAAGTTAGTCACCATGCTGCCCACTGGCGATAAAGAGAAGAGGAAATCCGATTTCATCACATTATTAAAGGTACAAGGTTTTAGACATTTGACGACCTCAGTGGTCCCTCCCTAAAATATGGTCGAACGCAGTGATGGCTGGCTCATACGTCATACTCGTGAACGAGCGCTGCTTGTAGGGACTGGTCTGCGACTACGACTACGACTGTTTTAATCCTATTATGTACTTAATATTTGAAGGTAATAAACTAGTGCTAGTTGGTGGTTTGTATTTGTGCACGTTTCAAATTGGAAATGTAAAGTTCCAATGATTATTTAAAAGAGCAACACGCAAACTTCTTGCTCGTTCTTCTTGTGATGAGACAGCTTTCCGAATCAAAAGTGCTTAAATTAAGTTTGACTAAATACTTTATTGTATACTAAGCGATTAGCACTGATGGAGATATTTAGTAGTTATGCAACAGTAAATACAATTTTTTCTTGATTTCATCAGGCGCACGCAAGACATGACTGTTACTTAACAACGAGAACTCTAATTTCAAATGTGATCTGATAATCATACTCATAAATACAAATGTTTGTAACATGCAAGGAATGGAACCCGCGAGCATTGGAAGTTAAACGGCGTGCAAAACCACTAAACCATCGACTCCGTAATATAAGTTTTATCAATCTTGGATTTGGGTCCTATTTCGTTAATAAAGTTCCGCAATTGTAGTATTTCTCATATAAATATTTATCAAGTAGATAGATATTAATTTAATTTTTATTATGTACTATAATAAACCTATGTGTTATTCTTTTGCATAAAGCTATATTACTGTAAAGTTTCATCAAAATCCGCTCAGTAGTTTTTGCGTGAAAGAGTAACAAACATCTATACTTACAAACTTTCACGTTTATAATATTATTAAGATAAGATGGATATATTTTCCACAGCCTAATTCACGTAGATGTAGTATAATCATTTCTATTTCTCAGATTTGTCTATGGTCAAACAAATGCGACCTCTCGCTGTCTGTGGGCGAGCCGGTATCATTGTCGGGTGGAAATACAACAAAAAGTCAAACTGAAGTAGTTGCGCCTGTAATAGATCCGTTTCAAATGGTTATAGACCTAAAAGATAAGGTAAGGAAGTATTAATTGCTAAATCCATAATTTATCTCCTTTTTACTTATCTCATTTATTTGTGGTCGTCGTAATGTTTTTCTCTTCCATTCATCCCTGTTCGCAGTCATCCGTTATTTACTCCCTTTCTTATCATGTCATCTTTCACACAGTCCATCCATCTCTATTTCGGCATTCCTCTGCTCTTATAACCGTCCAAATTTTTAGAATATCCATATCAAATCGAATCATATAGAACCTTTTTTCTTACTAGCTTTGCCCGCGACTTCGTCCGCGTTGAATCACTATTCAATGTCAATGTCACTACATTCGATAGCTTTTTATTATACCCTCTTAAAGGTAAAGTTTTTACAAACTTCGAATGTCATATTTATTTATATTTAATCAACAGCATAAAAACAAGTTTCAAGCTTCTTGGTTTAAAAATGACGATAATTTCATACAACTTTTCATCCCCCCTTTCAACCCCTTACAACCCTTTTTCGCATTAAAGTAGCAAGTGTAATTTTATTTAAATTGGTTGAGTAGTTTTGGCGTGAAAGCGCGACAAACAGACAGACAGAGTAACTAACTGTCCTATTTATAATATTAGTAAGAATTTTAATGACTGCGAACAGAGATGAATGGAAGAGAAAAATATATTACGCCTACCCCAAATAAATGGGATAAGGAAGAAGCAGATGATGAGTAAGAATTTTAATCGATAAACAAGTAGGTGTAATATAAAGTAATTCTTCAAAATGATTTATCACACTTATTATCACTATTTCAGTTGCTGGCAGACGATTCAGCGAAAGTAGCGGATCAAGTTATAGCCAAGGCTGAGAACATGGCGAAAACCATTGAAGGGGTCAGTATTTTCTTTATTTTTTTCATCACCATATATTTTTTTATTTACAGTACAATCGATCGATTAAATAGAAAAAATTTTCAAAATTAGAATCTAGAATTGCCTCCTTTTATATAAGTCAATTAAATTAACCACGCCGTCTTAATCATTAAAAGGATATATAATATTTTTGTGTAAATTTAAAACTTTAAAGGAAAAAGTAATTTAAATACATTTTAAATATTTAAATGCTTGTCTACAAGACAGCTACCTACGTGGTATAAAAAAAAACTGAGCATACTCTCCTTCTATAGATATCATCTTTCACACAATCCATTCATCTTTATTTCAGTGGTCCTCTCTCTTTCTATCCACGTCCATGCTATATACTTTATTTGCATCTATTTCAGTCGGTCTCTCTCTCTCTTTCTAACCATCCGCGTTCATGTTATATACTATACTAGCTACTCGCCCCGGTTTCGCATGGGTGTACATGTATTATATATACAAATCTTCCTCTTGAATAACTCGTATCTATTAAAAAAAAACCGCTTCAAAATTCGTTGCGTAGTTTTAAAGATTTAAGCATAAATAGGGACGGACAGACAGCGACAGCGACTTTGTTTTATACTATGTAATGATTTAAGACTCGGTCCTCCATGTAATTACAGAATACAATATTCAAATACCAGTGCAGTTGCCACAGACTGGCAACACTGGCGGGGATGCCGTTGCAAAAAGAGGTGCACTGTAGTTCAGTCAGTAGTTAGATAGTAGATAGAGTAATGATTTTGTGACTCGTGAAAACAGCAATTTTATGAACGGCCTTGGTGGTCTATCGATTTAGCACACCACTTTACTTCTGAAGTAGCGGGTTCGATTCCTCGTACAGTGCAAACATTTTCATTAATATGATTGTTTGTAGGTCTTGGTGCTTTCTATAGTCAGTTTTTTAATCCCGGAGACTAGTGACAGGTGTAAATGTCAAATTTTCAAATAATGTTACCGCCTATAGCGGGGTAGTGCTGTACCTCCGATACCGATTTGTTTAATCGGAAAATTTTATTTTATCATGGTAGTTTTTGATGACGTTTCCACAGTAGATCCATTACTGTCATTGTAATATACAATGTAAAAATACATTTCTGTGGTTTTCCGTACATATAGAAATTGTTTATAGTATTAAACTAGAAACCAACAATTTTTTTCTGTTAGAAAGCTAAATATTTGTAATAGATGTATATTTTATAATATATAACAAAAAACCAAGGTCATTTGTTGTTATTTTAGTGAAAAATAAATCTATTAATCTAAAAAATATATCTATTATCTATACAAAGAATACTTATTAGAAAAACAAATTTTAGGCATTCCACAGAAATTTCTTGGCTTTGTAATCTCCGGTAAAGGTTCTTAAAAAAAAAAAAAAAAAATGTTTTTTATTTCTCTATGTTACTCTTATTAATATTTTCTTTTTTTTTTCTTTTTTGATAATTGCCACTTACCACTCAGTTAAAATTATATCAAATTATACTCTGAACTATTTACATTATTTTTATTATAAACACACCACACAGACAATCCAATAATATTGCTCTTTTTATTTTATATTTATTTTAATTATTATTTTCACGTACCCTCAAATGGGTTGAAGCTGAAAATCAGTGTTTTGTTCCCTGAACAATGTTCCACGCTGAGCATCGACCTTTTTGTATTGCTACAGATCACACATAAAACACAATTTTATAAATCTTATGTTGTATTATGTATTTTTATATTCTTATGAACATGTTATGTGTGTGACTAGTAACAAACAAATAAACGATATATCTATCTATCTAACTATCTATCTATCTATTTTGATACAAACCTATATTTATTAATGTAACTGTATCTTGTGACTTCGTCTACACAAACTTTCATCTGTAACGTTATCCCAATCCAGATTATTGCCTTACTAATATTATAAATGTGCAAAAACTACTGAACCGATCATCATGAAATTATGTACACATGTTCTTGGAGGCATTAGAATGAACATAGGGTACTTTTTATTTAAAAAAAAAACATTTTTTATAAAAAAAAAACAAAAAATCAAAATATCAACATTTTACTACTTCAGCGCCGTCTAGCAGCCAGTAATGAAGTTACTTATTGTAATGATCTCCAATACTTATTTGTCGGTTTCAATGCGAGCGAAACCGCGAGTAAAAGCTAATCTTATATAAATAATTCAAATAGAATGTTATTTATTCAATTAGAGTGAGCTCATGATGGATCAGTAATTCATATAGAAATGATTCAAATTCTGAATCCTATTATCATAACATTTCCAGCCGCCGCCACAACCATCCAGCAAGAAGGGTTCACCCACTGGCAGCACGAGAGGTTCCCCCGTCCCTTCTCCAGCAGAACTTGAGGATGGCGTGGAACAACCGAAAGTACCCTGCCCTGCCAAGATGACTGTACCTCAAGCCGCAATATTTGGTAAGACAATACACTAATGGTTATTACAAATTAGCTACCCCCTCGACCTTACGACCTTGATACGAAATTAGACCTCGGCCTCAGCCGAGGTTCGAACCCCTAGCGGTGCTGTCAGACTGGCGTCGCATCTAAAAAAAATATCTAAGTATTAATATCAGTTGTCTAGTACCTATAACACAAGCTCTGTTTATCCTGTGACTAGATGGCGCTGTGTTAATTCTCCAGGGTTATTTATTTATGATTAATTTGTTATATTAAGTGTTGTAGTAATAAGAAAAAAGACTTCGTAAAAGGGAGAAAATATATTAATAATAGAGAACTAACATATAGACAACAGAAAGAATGAATTGAAGTATCAAAAACAAGAATGTAATATAAAAGAACTACAAATTCAAATACAAATTTAGAATATAAAATACATATCTGATTAGCCAGTTACAACATTAAGTATATACGTTGTCCCCAGATATCGTATGCGATAATTCTGCCTACGAGTTGTACACAGACTTGTGTTTGGCGCATTTCCTAGTCTCCCAGAAAATTGTACAAAAGGTAAATAGTTTTATTAAAGAAAATCTTAATAAATCTTAATAATCTTAATAATAATTTCTTAATAGTTTTAAATGAACTACGCATATACACAGATGGCTTCAAAACACATAACGGTTCAGGAGCAGGAGCACACTCCCTTGACCTCAACATGAACTTATACATACCACTCGGCCCACACAGTTCGAATTTCCAATGTGAATGCGTTGCCCTGACTGAGGCAGCACGAACAGTGCAAAAGTTAGGTGTCAATAATTTCAACATAAAATTTATATCGGACAGTGCTGCCGTGCTAAAAGCACTACAGAACAGGAAATCAAACAACACATTAATAATCGAATGTCACAATATCATGGACAAAGTGGCAGAGCACAACGGTGTAACCATCCAGTGGATAAAAGGGCATAGTGGATCATATGGAAATGATGCCGCGGACGAATTGGCAAGAAGAGGATCAGGCATGACGGTAGCAGGCCCCCATCCGTTTCTGTCAATACCATTCTCACAATTTCGATCCTGGATTCGCCAAAGATCCACTGAGGTACAAAACAAAAGATGGAAACAAACCACCGATTGCAAACAATCAAAAGTGGCAATTCCTAGAACAAATCAAAGAATGACAAAACGCCTAATAAATCTGGACAGGCATAACATAAAAACAATGATAGGGACAATGACGGGCCACTGTCCCTTAAACAGACATTTGTACACAATAGGTGCTACAGACAGTCCTCTATGCCGGGGCTGCTTTGTAGCCGAGGAAACGGCCGCTCACGTAATCCTGGAGTGCGAAGCAGTGACCACACAGCGAAATCAAATCCTCGGAACGGTGAGGTCGCTCCGAAAAGCCTGCGAAGACACCAGGAGACTTCTGCGCTTCTGGGAGGAGCTTGGCTGGCTACATTAGTAGCCTGGCTCTACACGCACAACGGCCCGAATGAGAGGCCAATTGCGGAAAATGGAGTCCAACCTACACTACACTACACTAATAGTTTTAAATTGTAATGACTGCAAAACTATTATTTGCGTAAAATGTATAATTATATACCCTCAATTACGTTCAGATATATATAGGCGCTTATTCTCTCTCTTTCACATACTCATACAAACACACATGCACGCACGCACGCACGCATATACGCATGCGCGGATCAACTAGTGTGTAATATATTTCTTCCGCTAGTTATATATATAAACTGGCTGTACCCGCGACTTCGTCCGGTACTAGATATAAAAGTAGCCTAAGTTACTACTTATTACATCAGCTACCTGCCAAAAAAAGTCCCGTCAAAATCGGTCCAGCCATTTCAGAGATTAGCCGGAACAAACAGACAGACAGACAAAAATTGTAAAAAATGTTATTTCGGTGTATGTACCGTATTCATATTCATATGCATGTAGTAAAAACGGTTGTTTCAATATTACAAACAGATACTACAATTTCTTTTTTATATGTATATATACTTATGTATAGATTAAACCAGTTCACGACTTTAAATCTATAAACTGATCGTATATTCAGAGACATTTTAATTGTGACACTCATATATGTCACTCACAACATGGAGTATTGTCACAGTATGTCAAGAGTTTGATATCTTTGTTTTCAGGTCAGATTTCATGTGAAAAAAATACCCTGGTTCGTGTCGGACGTCACGCCTAGGGATTTCAAGTGAGTATAGAATGAACTTTATGGAATTGACAATACCAATTCACACAGCGCCATCTAGATCCAAATTAAACTAGCTAAAAGCTTGTATTATGGGAACTAGAAAAATATGATTTTTTTCGTAAATACATACATAGAAAACACCCAGACCGATAAAAACAATCCTACTCATGAATATAAATGTTTGTGCAGGGTATCGTATCCCCTCCCGTCGAAAGTAAAACTGTGTGCTCAACCGCTAGACTATAGAGAAAATAATAAGAAGGCAAATAATAATCTCTGTTTACCTCATGGTCGACTGGGAGAAAATGCCTTATGGTGTTAAGTCCGCCATTTGCACCTTTATATTTTGTACTAGCTGTTCCCGTGACTTCGTCCGCGTGGAATTTAACTTTATTTTTATAAAATAAAAGTAGCCTAAGTTACTCCTTATTACATTAGCTACCTACCAAAAAAAGTCCTGTAAAATCGACCCAGCCATTTCAAAGATTAACCGGAACAAACAGACCGACAGACAGACAAAAATTGTAAAAAATGTTATTTTGGTGTATGTACTGTATTTATATTCATATGCATGTAGTAAAAAACGGTTATTTCAATATTACAAACAGACACTCCAATTTTATTTATATGTATAGATGTATAGATTTGTGCATTAAAGTTTTAATACATAAATAAATAAAATAAAATAATGGAATGATGCATTAGTAGTAGTTGTTTTGCGTGTTTTTGTAACAAACAATTTCCGTCCATCCATCCATCCATACATCCATACAAAATTTCGCATTTATAATATTAGTAAAATGAATGTTTTGTTAGTTTTTTTTGTCACATATCCATATTATTATCTCTGCTATGTTATGAAAATAAGAAAAACGGTAGGGGAAAAATATCAATACAAAAAACTTGAAGTTCAGAAGCGGCTAAAATAATCTGCACGAATAAATTATTTTTGATTTTGATTTTGTATACCTATGCAATAAGATATTTAATATTTATTATTAATTAATATCTCTTTTCAGGTATTTAATACAACAATGCAAAAATGCTACTTACAAGAGAGAAGTGCCATCGCAGCCAAACCCAGGTAAATTGATGTAGCAAGTTTTTTATGTAATCAGAATAGCAACGAAGCTGACGGTCCACTAGATGGTAAATGGCAATTGGCGTCGCCAACATGATAATCTTGGTACCACTTATACATTGCTATTATAATAATAATTATATCTCAGGACAATTAAAACAGCGCCATATAGTTCTAAGCTAAATAGATCTTGTGTAATGGGTACTAGACAACTGATATAAATACATAGTTAAGTTTTTTTGCAAATAGATACGTAATCATTACATAGTATAAAACAAAGTCGCTGTCGCTGTCTGTCCGTCCCTATATATGCTTAAAACTACACAACGGATTTTGAAGCGGTGTTTTTAATAGATAGTGATTCTAGAGGAAGGTTTATATATATAATACATGTACACTCGTGCAAAGCCGGGCGAGTAGCTAGTTTATAAATATACGGTTTCGGCTAACTTATTGGCTAAGTAAAGCAGTGTGCTTTACTTCCGATGGTCTAGGGTTCGATAAAAAACACTCATACCGATACAACCAATGATACTTATGAATGTAGTATGTACTTGTACTGTGTGAGGAATTGAACCACTGACATTATGAAGTAAAGCAGTGTGCTAAACTGCTAGACCACCGAGTTCTGTTATTTTATCATTTAAAATGTTATGTTTTTCGTATTCCAGAGAGTGCTGAAGGTGCAGATGATTCTCCTCGAGTCGTTTCAGCAGACAACCTCCGGGCGGTCGCGCAACAGTGGCAACAGTACGTCAATGACGGCACCTTCCTCGTTCAGGTATAACAAGCAACTTAATATATATTCAAATTTAAAATATCTTTATTCATGTAGGTCTATTACAGACTCTTATGATATGTAAAATCTACCGACCGATCCGATCTACCTACTCTATATAAACTATCCACCAATTAGGTATATATAAAGGATAGCTGAAAAGTAATTTTATTTATTATATAATAACCTAAAAATTTGCAACTGGAGCCTTGAAAACAATAAGCAATAAAAACAAGTAAATGGTAATATTTACGTACGAACAAAATAAATGTTAATAATAAAAAGAAATTGAAACATATATAGAGATAAAAAAAATCTCAATGAAGAGATTCGCTTAATCACAAAATAGAAGTATGGCGATGCAATTGATAATACTGTTTAAAAAAAAAGTTAATAATAAAAAAAAAAAAACAAATAACCTAAAAATATTTCCATACCTGTATACTTCATTAGTTTGTTTTACAAAAACTTGTGATATCGTTTTTATATTTCCAATAATTGCCTCGTATTCATGTCTAACAATTTTGTCACTGTCTGTACCGTCCAGTTCGACTAACTACTTCAGTTGAGATCTGAAAAAAAATTATACTTCCTTTTATATATGTAAATTTTGTTACCTATCATTTTCTTTATTATCCCACTAGCTGTCCCCGTGTCTTCATCCATGTAAAATGACGATACTTACATATAAACTTTCATCCCCTTTCAACCTCATACAACCCTTTTTTTGCATTGTAAAGTAGCCTATGTCCTTTGCCAAAGTCTAGACTTTCTGTGTACCAAATTTCTTTTAAATCGGTTCAGTGGTTTCGGCGTGAAAGCGAGACAGACAGACAGACAGAGTTATTTTCGCATTTATAATATTAGTAAGTATTTATAATATTTGTGGTCGGCGTAATATGTTTTTCTCTTCCATTCATCCCTGTTAGCAGTTTCACAGTTTCATACAGTCCATCCGGACCGCAGCAGACATCTCGTTGTTTACTCCCTTTCTTACCATATCATCTTTCACACAGTCCATCCATCTCTTTTTTGGCACTTATAACCATCCACATTTATATGTAACACCCTAAAAAAAGAAACCTCTGTTATATATGTATATATAGAATTGTGTTATATAAATGATAAAAAGTTTTCAGGTAGTCCTAGCAGAAGACTTTACAGTCTACCTCTAGTCAAAATGATTTAATCAATGAATTCAATCCAAAACTCTATTTATTTATTCATAACAATAATTGGGAAAAATGGGGGAAAATGTTGGGGCACTTGATACGACACGAAACTAATTAACAACATTATAGAAGGAAAAATAGATGGAAAGAGAGGAAGGGGAAGACAGACACAGTTATATCAAGCAAGTTTTGGAGTCATCAACAGCTAAAGGGACTGACAGAAGATCGTGGAAGGTGGCGGACCCACCGACAAGAGCACAGCTCTTAAATTATGAATGAATGAATCATCATCTGCTTCTTCCTTATCCCATTTATTTGGGGTCGTCGTAATATGTTTTTTGCTTCCATTCCTCCCTGTTCGCAGTCATCGCGTTATTTACTTACCATATCATCTTTCACACAGTCCATCCATCTCTTTTTTGGCCTTCCTCTGCCCTTATAACCATCCACATTCATATGTAACATCTTACTTAAAATATTCTCTTCGTTCCTACGCATTACATGTCCATACCATGATAGAAATTATGAATGAATGAATGAACAATAATTATTCTGTCGAATTTCAAAGTACAAAATGAAGTAATCTAAAATAAAAATGTCAAAATAATAATAATAACATGAAAATCAATAATATATTTCCCTTTATATATTTTCTATGGTTTATTCAATATTTGTTTATGTTCTAGTGCGACGATTTCTGGACATCTCCGCATGTTTACAAAGACATGAAGAAATATGACTATAATGTGTACAGAAAGTTGCAATTCGCCGTCGCAGTATTGTTCAAGGGCGATTTGAACTACAGAAAGCTATTAGGAGAGAAGAACTGGAATCCTACCACTGGATTCGAAACGGCATTACAAGGTAACATTTTGTTATTGGAATGAACATAATACCTTTTACAATTTACACAGCACCATCTAGTCCCACGGTGTTAGCGGTATGTTTATGGGCTTTATTTATATGCCAGTTTTGGTTGTATAGAAGTAGTTTATTAAAATAATAGTAAATTTCGAACATATATAGTTATATAGAAGAGTTTAAGATAAGTAGTGATCAGAAGTACGATAGTTGAAAAAGTTTTTTTAAATAGTTTTTTCCCGCGCAAACGCAACGCGCCACAGATTCAAAATATACGGCGACGCGCAGCCGCAGTAGGACGATAAGCGCATTATGGCAGTATGCGCGATGTTAATACTATGAGTATTAACACACGTAAAGGTACTAGACAACTGATATATACACTTAGATTTTTTTTGTAAATCTAAATATATATAACTCAAAGGTGACTGACATAGTGATCTATCAACGCACAGCCCAAACCACTGGACGGATCAGGGTGAAATTTGGCATGGAGGTAGATGTTATGATGTAGGCATCCGCTAAGAAAGGATTTTGATTAATTCCACCCCTAAGGGATAAATTAACGCTAGCGAAGCCGCGGGCAAAAGCTAGTACAAAATATACATAGAAAACACTCAGTACAAACAATCATACTCATGAATACAAATGTTTATACTGTTCAAGGATGGACGACCAAGATTTTAGAAATATAATTAAGGGTAGATAAAACTGTTTTTGACTCCTGAAACATACTGGAAAATTAATTATGACGTTATGGTTTCTTCAAAGTTTGGAGACCCCTAGTCTAGTGAGCTGTGTTATGGGTACTAGATAACTGGTATAAATACTTAATTAGTTTTGTAAATACATACATAATATATATAAGAAACACCTAGATGAATACAAAACAATCATATCAATGAATACAAATATTTATACTACGCGAGGTTGGACTAATTTCAAAAGATTATCTAATCTCTAGAAATATAGCTAGGGGGAAAAAAATTAAAATTGTTTTTGGTATAATATATACACAAGAAACATCCAGATGAATACAATACAATCATAGCAATGAATACAAATGTTTGTACTATGCGAGGACAATAAATATCGAGAAATATAGCTAAGGACACAACAATTTAATTTAATTTTAACTGTTTCAGTGAACACAATGTTTTTTTCTTCAAAAACTGAAACAGATGAATACATATTTATGTACATAAAATACCAGATTGTTTAAATCTTTTAAATGTCAAATAAAACACTCCTTTGCAAAAAAGCATATAAAATTGAAGAATTCGTTAACGATAATAATGTTTTTGTAGAAAAATTTTAAATACATAGCGATATTATCTGATTAACTAATATATTAAAAGATTTCTATGTTGATTGTTTTTACTTGTTACACTGTAATTATTTATATAAAAAAAACATCTATCAAAAAGAGCAACACACAAGTTTCTTGCTCATTCTTCTTGTGATGAATCTGCATTCCGAATGAATAGAATCAAAATATGACTATTCAAAAGTGCTTGTAATGAGTTTATTTGAATATTTGAATAAAGATTATTTCTATTTCTATTTCTATTTCTATGTGACCGCTTAGTCTAGTGAGCTTGTGTTATGGGTACTAGACAACTGATGCTTAAATCCAAATACTTAAATCCTTTTTTTTTTCCAAACAGATGAATACAAACATGATTGTTTAAATCATGAATGTTAGAATTCACATCATTATTGTAGAAATATTCCGATATTTTAAAAATATATTAAAAGAAGCTAGTTTTTAGTACTAATGGCTTCAAAGCTTCAGTCGTCCATCATAAGTAGTGCTTCTTACATGAATACAAATGTTTAATGTGATGTTATTGTATTCTTTCAGGTTTCATACCAGCGCCTGTCATAGCGCTGAGGACAGTGAAGGCAGACTTAATATGTGGACTACCCAAAGGGAAATATGAACAGCTGACGAAGGTCGATGAGAAGTGGATGCAGAGCGGAGACTATGGGTAATTCTTTGTTTTTTCTAGCTAAGCAGAGCTTGTGTTGTATGTGTATTAGACAACTGATATAAATACATCGACAGATATTTTTGTTGTAAATACATACAGAGTACACATAGAAAATAAACAGACGGATACAAGCAATCATCAAACGAGGATACAAATGTTTGTATAGTGCGAGGACTCGAACCCGCAACCATCGAAAGTAAGGCGGTATGTTAAACTGCTAGAACACCGAGCCCTTCATCATCGTCAACTTGCATAGAGGATTAAGTTATTAATACACTGCCATATCTCACCCTTCAACCCAAATACTGTTTTCAAAGCAAGGTATTTAGTAAGCTGAAATACGAGGAATCGAACCTACGACCATCGGAACTAAGGCGGTGTGCTATATACCGCTAGACCACCGTATAATTATTTAATAGCTCCCGATATTGCGACGTTGCTACAAACGTCTCGGTTTTTATTATATACTATCTGTAAATGGGATTTCGTCCGCGTCGAAATTAACTTTATTTTTCTAAAATAAAAGAGTCCCCCAAAATCGGTGCAGCCATTTCAGAATTAGTCGGAACAAACAGACAGACAGACCAAATATTTAAAAAATGTTATCTTGGTGTATATACCATATTTATATTCATATGCCTGTAGTAAAAAACGGTTGTTTCAATATTACAAACACTCCAATTTTATTTATATGTATAGATAAAGATACAAATACTGTCTACTAAAAGAATATTCTCCAAATTATTAATATAATTATTAATTCCAGACTGATCCAGTTCTGTCCCAAATCTGAACCGCTGAAGGCGGACGAGAAGCCATGCCCGGACTACGGCGACTCATGCTTCGGGACTGTGTGTCCCACACACGCAGATCTATGATAGACGATTATTACTTCTAAACCAAATGGCCAACAGCACTTGTCTATGGTACTGTCCATAGACAAGAATAATACCGTATTTATGCCACTAAGAACCCGACTTTGATCGTAAAAAGTGTCCTATTTATATCGCTGTAATTATAAGAATGCGTTACTCCTTCTGGATGAAGTTTGCAGCAAGTAAATGAAGATATATATATATGTCTTATCCAATTAGATGTTATTTTGCAGAGGTACTCAACTAAAAATTAACTCCATCAAATGTTATTGAGACCTAAAAGAAACACCATCTTTCAAATAAAAGAAATAATTATTAGAACCGATTTTATTTATAGTTTTCTATTTGCAATGTAGAATTTTTTAAGATTAACCTATACATGTATAAAGAATGACAGACAAATTAACTACTGAATTAAAAAAAAGAAAGTTCTAAGTATGGCGTTTAACGTTCTTGTTCTGATGAGTCTGCTTTTCTGTGATAGAATATAAAATATTATATAATTAGTCAAAAGTGCTTGGTATTATGTTTATTTAAATAAATATTATTTCTATTTTTGTAACTTTTTCTACAAAGAAAAACTTCAGGACAATTCACACAGCGTCATCTAGTCCCAAGCTAAGCAGAGCTTGCACTATGTGTACTAGACAACTGATATAAATACTTACATACATTTTAAATACCTACATAACATATATATAGAAAACACCCAGACCGATACGAACAATCATACTCATGAATATAAAAATCTTTTCTTTTCTACCTGAATCGATTTTGATAATTATATTTTTATTAGAATGTTGGTGCCTCACGTGTGGTCTTATATAAATTTGATGAAGGTTTTTGAGTTATCCATAAAGAACTACCATTGTAGTAGCTTTTTTTCGTGTAAATACGGTATTATTTTGAAGTTCTTCGAAAAAGTTAGATAATACAATTATATCATATTTATAAGAAAAATCAAATGTACAACTACTTTATTTGTGTTTATGATATTAATACTATACTGATAAGAAATAAGCAAGAAATTATTTGGGAACCAATGATGCACATGTACATAAATCTAGATGTTATCCGCGACTTCGTTCACATGGAATTTAACTTTATTTTTATTGAAATAAATAATTTTTCTAAAATAAAAGTGCTTAAATTACTCCTTATAACTTTTGCTATGTGCGAGTGGCTACCAAACGACTGGGAGAAGGGGATTACTAGTAATGGGAACTAGTAACCGCCATTGCTAGCAATGTCCCATGGTAGGTCGACTTCCACGCGGTTTTTCCTAGAAACCATCGTGATGAATTTCTAGTGAATTTTCACTATGGGCTAACTGACATGACCTCGTGGTCATCTTATTATCCTCTACTGGTGCCCCGTCAGCGTAAACAATTAGAACAGGCGGGTGCACCATTTCATTATAATCCCATAAAAAATAAATACCAGTCAGCTATTCCTACTTGAATTATATCGCTCGGGCTATGGGACCGCGAGGCATTCGCCCAAAACATTAGCACAACGCTAGATTTACCGTTTTTTTAATGCATGAGGTCAGGTCAGTTAGCCCATAGTGACACATTCACCAAGAATTTATCACGATGATTTCCAGGGGGAACCGCGTGGAGGTCAACCTGACATGGTACATTGCTAACTATATGATCATCAATCCACATTATTAACAATCCTAAATCTACCTAGATCTACCGTTTGCTCTGCGATATCGTAAGAGTTGTAGGGATATAGTATGAACTAGCGAAATTAACAAAAAAATATATACAAAATCTATCACAATACTTCTAAGGAATAATTATACAAATTTAAACATAGAATAGAAGTAATTTATTAAAATAAACTTACATTAAAGCACTTTTTCATACTAATCACATTTTTTTAATCTACCGCTTCGGAAAGCTGTCTCATCACAAGAAGAACGAGCAAGAAACTTGCGTGTTGCACTTTTAAATAATTTTATTGTTACTTGACATTTTAAGTTGATCTGTGTGAATAAACTACCAACATATAACATGTTTTAATTACTCAGGAGTATCTTAGTGATAAACTCTTTACTGATGCAAATACAAAATTAATTGCAGAGAGAGATAATCGTAGTTTCGGTCCATGTTATAGTGGGCATGTGAAATGATTACCACGAAGTCTTGGCCATCTCAGCTAGAATAAGTCTTAGTATAGCATAATACTTACTAGATGGCGCTATAAGTAATAAATTCAGTTCAAATTATTTCCTATGCAGATCCAATAGATGGCACTGTACAAAATGTAAAACGCGATATAAAGTTGCTTTCGCATCTTGTTACCTACGTGGCTCGGAATATTGCTCGTCAGCTTGTTTGCCATTCAATAATTATTGAATGATAATTATATAAACTTTTTGGAACTCGGTATTGCACTGGGTTTTATTAAATTCGATGATTATTTGATTAAATAAATTTAACAATGGTATTAAAAATGCTTTTGTTTTACGCAACCTACACTACAGGGTTAGTTTTAACCAACCCTGTACTGTAGGGTCAATAAGAGAACAATAAAAATAACAAATGAATTTATAAAGTAATTATAAAACTGTATACAGTTTATAATTACTTATTTACATATTTTTATAAAAAATATGCTTATATATTAACATTATATTAAGACGTTAAGAAACAGTTTTTACCCATTTCAACTTGAAAATTGCGTAGAAGGAGGATATCGCATATTTATGGTTTGTATATAATAATTTTTTTTTTTTAAATACTTGTAAAAATATTTTAAATCAATAAAACTGACATTACACCTTATTTTTTTTAATTGTTAAACATTATGCTGTGTTATTGAAAATTATTTAAATGGCTCAACAATTCGAATCTATCTATGTATATTGTTATCTCTTTTTATTTCTTAAAAATAATATATCTCTAATTAAATAATTATGTATTTTATTTTTAGAATTAAACGTTTAATGCAAATGGCTCGTAAAAAACAAACTACCTGATTTTCTTAGCTTGAATAATAATTATATTATGTTGTAAGTAATTCCATTTTGTACATTGTTTAATCAATATATTTCCGTTCAATTATAGAAAAGAAATAAAAATAATCTTTATTCAAATATATCATAAACACTTTCCAATAGTCCTATTTTTTATTCTATTCTGATTTGGAAATGAGTTAATTACTCATAGCACGGGGGTTCACTGGAAGCATGGCGGTCGACCAGACATCGTAAATTGTTAGCAATTTCCCTACTACTACTGTTCCCTATTACCTATTACTATGTAATATTATATTATCTGTGCTATTACTAACAATCCTTTCAGCCCTGTGTGAAAGACTAACAAACATCTATCCATCCACGCACGCTCAAACTTCCGCTTTATAAAAGCGGATGTAGGTATATTAGCACAGATAATAATAAGGCTGGGTAATGTGGCCTATTTATGACTGCTACTCCAGTCAATGATACAACGATTTCATTCCAAGAATTATCACGAGAGACGGCCGCGGCGCGACGGTAGGCTCAATTCTACCACGTTAAACATTGAAAACGTACAGACCAAGATGTGGGAATATCAAATTTAATACTGCGATCTCCATTTGACTAAGGAGGGAACGGAATTGTTAGTAATGTACTAACTACACATGGTTAACCTTCACGGTTCTCTCTGAAAACCATCATGATAAATTCCTGGTGAATTTGTTAGGATGTGCTAACTGATCTCATGTTCATCATATCATCCTTTACTAAAGCCCAACCTAGCCGGCGTAAACCGTTAGCGCAGATGGGTGTACCATACCATTATAATCTATTAAAAAATACTTCTGACTACCACATATAGGATTATAGTCGCGACGGTATGTTGTATGTACGTGTTGAGTTCGTAGTCTAGTACCTAGAAACTTCAGAAATTTGTGGCCGATTTAAATATGCATCGATAAGTATTAATGTACCTACATAGCTTACTATGTCATTATTATGATGTGCATGTGAATTTTGTGAGATTTTTTTAGTGTGTAACTTGGTACTATGAGCTGTATCAGGATTATATTTATGTATCAAATAAAATTGCAGAGGCAACGTATATGTAATTTAATTTTCTAAGAGACCACAGATTAACAACTATCAGTTGCGCGCGCAGCTTCATATGCGCGCTGCCTATGCAATGTGTTTATATGAATAATACGTGATTAAAAAAAACGCTACGAACGACGAATCTGAAACCTTAGAGATCGAATAAAAAATTCAAAACAGTTTAAATTGTCATGAAACACATAAATTTAAAGATTTTTTTGCTGAACCGTATACTACTATTTATAAGATTTTATTATTGACATTTGACACAATCACACGATTGTTGCTGTCAATGTCAAACAAAAATTTGTTTACTGGACCGCGCTCATATAACCTAACAAATTGTTTATTTTTCAACTTAATATTTATTATGAAAATCTAGTTTTTATTCTGTAAAATGTTTCAGTCAGCGATTAAACGAATTATTACAACATATAATTATAAGACTCTTAGGATGATAATGCCGTTACAAGTTAAACAAATACATCTAACGTCAGGTGAAAAAAAGTTTCATGAATTTTCTTTTAATTGTGCTGTTTTGAGGCAATAATTACGTATTTTACAGGTTTATGGCATGGAGAATATGAGTGGCAGGATCCCAAATCAGAAGACGAAATGTAAGTAATTTTTACGTAAATTCTTTCATATATCTTTTTGAAACTTTTTATTTTATATAAGTTTAAACTATCAGATAACTTATCTAAATAGAAACCCACTGCCATAAACTTTGTATATTATATTGTTTTATTTTTAAATTTGTATATTTGATATGTAAACAAATGTAACCTCTATTTTGCAGAGTAAATGTTGTGTACATAGATAAAGATGGCAAAAAGACGAATGTTAGAGGCAAAGTCGGAGACAATATTCTATATTTAGCTCATAGATACGGTATAGAAATGGAAGGTAATGAAGTCAAGATGTGTTATTAAATATTTTTTCATAAAATCCAACATATAATGTATTTACAAGACTAATTTAATTTGTACATGAATTGAATTGAATAGAAAATTATTTATTGAAATAAACTTAAGCACTTTTGAATAGTCATAGTTGCCTTTTTTATTATCTTCCACTCATTCAGAAAGCTGTCTCAATAATTTTTACTGTTATTGTGTATTTAAAGTATTATATTTGTAACTAGCTGTTCCCGTGACTTAATCCTTATAACATCAGCTACCTGCCAATAAAAGTCCCGTCAAAATTGGTCCAGCCATTACAGGAACAAACAAACAGACAGACCAGAATTGTAAAAAAAATTATATTGTGTATGTACCATATTTATATTCATATGCATGTAGTAAAAAACGGTTAATTCAATATTACAAACAGACATTCCAACTTTATTTATATGTATAGATTACACTATTAACCCAACAAATAAATAATTTTCAGGTGCCTGCGAGGCATCATTGGCATGTACAACCTGTCATGTGTATGTAAATCATGATTACCTTGACAAGTTACCACCATCTGAGGAAAAGGAGGATGATCTATTAGATATGGCGCCATTTTTAAAAGAAAATTCTAGATTAGGTAAATGATATTATGTTCAATTTCATTATAATTGTTATTGTATACCTAATAAGTGAAAGATTTAGAAACTAGGAAATAAGTTTTAAATTTTAACATTAGACACATTTGTTTTATATTGGCAATTGTATAAAATTTCATGTGTTAGTAACATTAGAAAGATTTATGAAACAAACAATTTTGGTTTTGTGTATGCTTGCCAGCCACCCTTTAGACCTAAGAACTATGAAACTAAAACCTACAACTAAACAATTGATAGAAACATTTTTTTTTATGAATGCATATGTAATATACATATCACACAGCCAGATCAAACAATCATACAAATATTTGTATTACTTTAGAAATCGAACCTACAACCATTGGAAAGAAGGTGGTGTGCTATTCCATTAGACTACCAATGATCAAATTAGCAGATTTCTTATCAATGTATCTTGTGAATACAAAGACTAATATTGTAATTTTTTTTATTAGGATTTTAAATAAATGTATATAATATAATGTACTCAAATCGTAAATGTTTTTTATTCCAGGTTGTCAAATAGTGCTTACAAAAGAACTAGAGGGCATAGAGCTAACTTTACCAAAGGCAACTCGTAACTTCTATGTAGATGGACACAAGCCTACACCACACTAAGAACAAAGTTATCTGTTGTTCTAATTTAAGTGTTGATTTTGTTTCACGTTAGATCCCATAACAACTATTAGTCTTGCATAGTTTGCAAACTAACTAGTCCGGAAGAATGATCCTAATTGTTTCAATTGAAGGTTTTGGGCTATTGGCCGGTGTTAAGACTTGTAGCACTGACCACACATAGATCTGCTCACCCTTTTTCAGAGTTCACTAGGACCAGTCAGGAACAAGAATTGAAGGATATTCTTAGGAGTGATGGTTTTTATCACCTCAGGATATAGTGTATACTTTCCAAAGGATATCTCTTAATGACTAAGTTCATGTATTTGTGAGTCTTCAGTTTCTAAGTTCATTTTAAACATACACCTGTTGAGAAATTGTAGTTTTTTTCGTATTATACTTGAGGAACAGTGTATTTTGAGCCCAAAAAAAGGAACATTTTGTAGTCTAGTTGCAAGATTAGGAACTCTGTAATAGGTATGTGTCTGAGATATTGTAGTTTTTTCCTTATGTGTTATAAGGAAAAAACTACAATAAGGAACAAATAGTGTATTTTAGCCTAAAAGAAGAAACACTTGTAAGTCTAGTTGCAAGATTATGAACTCTGTAATAGGTATGTAGATCTAACTACAATTACAGTAGTTGTAGTCAGTGGTGGATTAAACCAGACTGGGTGCTGTAGTTAATACCTTAAATAAACAATGGTATTGTTTTAGTTTTTTTAAAACAACAAAATCTTTTATTCTGTTTAGACTATCTACAAACTAAAGTTTTTTTAATACTGCTTATTGGTAATCTGTTTATTTTTTAACAATAATCCAATCTGATTTTCTTTTTAAATTATATTGTATTGTGTCCGTTCAATTAATGAGTTTCATCCAATAAATCGGCTCTTAGGCACTGTTTGGGAATTTTTACACTAAAAAACATTACTAAAATAACTTTTTGTTGTATTATGTAGAGAAAATAGTGAGTATGCAGGATCTATTATTGCACGGGTCCATAGCATTGACTATTAGGGTCATCCGGCACTGATTGCAGTTAGGATCTGAAGTCACTGGAACTTATTACTTTATTTATATTCTTTATTGTATGACATACAGAAAATAATAGATATATATGAACTGATATAAAAGACAATCTTATGGCTAAGCTCAGACTCTTCCAGACCACCTTTGGTACAGTAATGATAAGAAAAGAATGAGTGATCTGTGATATATTGGCATATTGCATATGAGATGAGGTGATAATCAAAACCAAAAGACTACAGTTGTATCAAACAACAGGTACATAAGGGCCATGATAAATTCTAGAAGATGCTAGAATGAAGCCAGGGTACAGAAAATTTAAAGTGCATTAGAATAAACTCCATAGACAAAATGATAATGGTGATAATGTCAATATTGGTAATGAACAGCTGTTCTAATATACATATATATTACATACTATGTAAGGAAATGAAGGAAAAGTAGGTATATATAAAATACAGTTGGCATATACTTTTTTCCCTCCACAATTAAATAACTGACCTGGAAATATAAATATGGACTCCCTATAAATTTGTAAAATAACATTAGTTTTTCAGTATTTATTAAAGTCTCATACTCCAATCTGTAACCCTAACTTCCTTTCCTATTTATTTTCAATTGTTCACCTTCAGATTTTTTTAAAAATATGTTCACCTTATTTGACATAGCGGATTTTTGTGATATGCTTCTTGAGTGATTCTCCACTGTAAGCTATGAGCTATTTTGTATTTCCGTGGCACAAACATGCAAGTTTACTAATATTCTATTGCATTCTGTAATTTATACAGCTTATATTAGTCTAACAAATCAAAATAAAGTATCTATAAACTGTTATAACAGATTTAATGATATAAAATCTGAGTGTATCTGCGAATATTTTATGTAAATAGTTGTTTATATTTTAAGGATTACAAATTAGATTATAGATAGCAATAAAACACTTTATTGTATATTAATATACAGTAAGTATTTCATTTATTACCCTACAATAATGGAATTAATGTAATTTTTGTTCTTATAGTAGAAACTAGCTGTGTCCCCATGAATTTTATAGCCTATGTGATGCAATATTATTGCAAAGTTTCATCAATTAATTTAGGCATCGGTTTGATTAAATATTACTGAAACTACAGATATAGCTTATACATCAGAATAACTCATATAACTATAATTTTCACGGGGAAACTGCGGGCTAGCTAGCTAGCTGAGGAATGATAAAAATTCACAGGCCACCTGATGGTAATTGATAACAGAATCATATATGCAACGTGACTCACGTTGTTACTTTCGCTTTGCTATTCCATAGGACTAAAATATGGTTTTCTACCCTGTAACTTCACTTCCATATCTCACCCTTTGAACTAAAACAGCATAGAGTCAGCCGGCAAGGTTAGAAAAGCTTTTCGGCTATCGGTATCCACGTAGTAACTATACTATAACTATACTATACTATAGTTAAAGTACGCCCTTTATTACCTATATGAACTGAAAAAACACACTAATTTTGTCTTAAAGATCAGATATTTTCGATACTTCGTTATCCGTAAGTATATTAAACTACTCTTTTTGTAACTTTCAATTCCTAAATTTTGTTTAATTTATACATTTGTCCCTCAAAGAGTTCCGTTCAAAATGTTCGTTACATATTACTTTTAATTCCACATCGCAATCGTTAGACATTTTAATAAAATTTAATAATAAATGTATTAAGACGATCTAAAAAAAAGTCAACAATAAACAAATCAGCTGATTTTGTGACAATTGACAGTCAAATGACATTTTAGTTCATTCACCCGTTGTTCCGTTCCGTTTACAAGGATTCAAAGAAAAATAATTATAGAGTCTAAGATTTACTCAGGACGATACAGATATTATAGAGAGTGTCAGAAAAATATCAATTAATAAATTGTAATTTGCTACATTCTATGTAATTGTAATAATATAAAAAATAATTAATCATATTTGTATCTGTGGTTTTACATCGCCCCGCCTCCGCCCGCGCGTCTACTCACTCATTCACGGCTTGTTTCTTTTTCATTCGTTCAATCAGTCTGCTCGCGACCGTCGTCGAAAGTGGTATACTAGTTTTGTACTCCGCGAAACGCGTTTCGGTGTGATTTGTGTTTTGTTTTGTGGTGCACGATGGCTTACAACGGTAGTGGTGGCAAGAGACTGTGTACTACGACCGATATCGACGTTGAAAGGGTGAGTTCAACAATATATATTGCAACCATCGAAACATTGAACAGACCTAGACCCGACGAAAATGGCCGTGTTTTTGTCCAATTCCTTTACGTGTTTCGCATCAAATTCGCGAAATATCCATCTAATCTTTACTGTGACTATGTTAGAAGTAATATTAAAGGTTTCTGAGTATAAATAATAGTCGCTCGGCAGGTATGTTGTCATTTCCACGTTTCGATGTTATTTTTGTTAATTTTGAGGTTACATTTTGTTGACATGCGAATAAATTTTTATACTCGGTACCGTTAGCTTTTTAAACGGTATAATTGTGTGCTTTTTCTATATTTTTTAGTTGCCATAGCGTGTGCTTTCCAAAATAGTTTTCTGTCTGTCTGGGCAGACGCTGTCAATTATCGTGATTGACTGACGTCCCTCGGTTGTGTATACGCGGGAAATACCAATGTTTTCAGGTCGCGAACAATATCTGCTCGATTATAACCTGAAGTATTATTATTATTGTACTTTCCACTTACCGGTAAAGTGATTCTAAATTTTACACGTCCAAATTATTAATTTTCTTATCAGATTAAAGACGAATGTTTTTATGACTATTTTTGTTTTAAAAAAATGCAATATACCACAGATAAGCATTAAGTATTTGTCCATAGTTGTTCTCTATGATAAATATTGAAGGAAAAAATAAGGCACAAAATGCCAATTTCCATAAATAAAAAATAAAAAAAAGTACTTTATTATTATCAGATATAATTTAATTGCAGTGTATCTATTATATTGGAAAAATAATCATATGATATAAGTTTTTTCGCTGGGCTAACACAGAGTATGGTAAATTTCTATCTGTGTTATGACAATATACCTAATTATGCCTATAAAAAAACTGATAACTTTAGCCATTTCTCTTATAAAAAGATACATTATATTTACCTGAATATTGGAATATTTCAGTAAATTATTAATAGTTAAAGTATACATATTATTCTTTATTTAATGTGTATTAATAATATTTTTTAAATGACATCTATGGGAACCCATTAGTTCCACTTAATGTAGTTTTACTGATATATTTAAAAATATAAAACTCTGCTCTTTGACATTATCTACAGCTGTTGCTACTAATTTTGATCAAAGCATTACGGAGACAATTCCAAACAAATTTAGTACTCATTATAAACTTTAGACGTACAATGGTGTTTTTTTTTTAATTCAGTGGAAGGCAAAGACATTAAATTGTCTGTGGACAGTGAAGACATGATTAATTTAAAGGTTAATGGGGTAGAAATTAATTTGCTTTATGGTTGACATGTGTCTTTGTAAGTGATTTGTTTTACAACATGTTAATTCTAAACTTCCAAGCTGTATTCTTTGATGATAGTTCGAATTTAATAATAAAGTTTTCTTCTAATTGAAACTTGACTTTTATTGTTTTAGGTTTATAATACTTTTATGAGGGATAACTACATTGCAAGTCTTCGGTTTGTTGAGTATGCATGTGTTGTACAGGCATATTAATGTTATACTTGTTATTACACTTGGAACCTAATATAGTTAAGTATAAAGTTAAAAGTTTGTTCAACTTATAAAAAGCAGACTAATATATCTTTACTCTTCCTCACCAGTTACACTATATGCTATAGAGTATGTGTAAAGTGGCTCAAAAATCTTACATTAATAAATACTTTTTAATATTGTAGCACAGTATTATAGGTATATATTGGTTTAGGTTAGTGCAGAAAGATATTTTATCTTCGCATATCTGAACAAAAAGTTCAGATATGCTGATTCTGATTCTTTTCTTTCTTTTTTTTCTTTCTTTAATGAGACTTGCCATCCATGGGTTCATCATGCGGGTGCCGAGTCCGTCGTGTGGCAGAAAGGAAAACTTCGAGCGAGGACTCGTGACCCGGGTGTAGGTTTAATGGTTTTTGGCGACGTATTCAAATCTCACCTTCATCGCTCGTGTTTTTCTGGCAGGACTCCGCTAATGCAGCTTTAGTGTAAAACGTTCTAGTGTAAAACTTATTGCAGTTCACGACAGGCCAAGATCTTTCAGGAGATTGTACAGAAATACCTCTCGTTCCCACTTCGACCGCATATCAATTAACCATAAAGTAATTTGTCGTTAATTCGATTAATATTTCGTACTCAAATGCAATTTAAATCGTGTAAATAAGCACATAGTGTAGATGCAGCTGTGTTATGTTTGCATTCATCTTGTGGTCACGATTCAGCAATTATTCCTGAATGCTAGACGTTATGTCTGTTGCAATTGTGGTTCATGTGACACTCGACTTGGCCACATTTCCAGGATGGCGTATTAGAGAACAATATGGCGTTTACACAGGGTTGCTATCAAATTGCGAGTATATTTAATAGAATTAGGTGTTACTTTATTCTTTTGTTTAATTCCGCTACAATTAACTTGTGTGAGATCACAAATATTCTGTGTCGAAACTTGACTACCGTTACGACCTTCTCTAATGGCGATCAAATTCCGACGATTATATATAGCCTGTTACACAAGGATAATGCAACATCCTAAAGGTGAAATATTTTTGAAATCGATCCAACAGTTTTTAAGTTTATTCGTAACAAACATACAAAATTACGAATCTTTGCTATTTATAATATTGCTGTAGATAATTCAGCAAATAGGCCTTAACACAATAACCGGGTTGATGCAAACAATTCTAAAAATCGCACGGTTTGTAAACGCGCGTCAAAGTAAGACAAATTCGGTGTAATCCAGAAATGGCAGCCCTACATAACCTATATTTACACTAACCTATATTCTCTATAGAAGCAGGTAATGCTGTTACAAGTCCATCAGCATACGGTTACATCTGTGGTTAATTCTCGTGAATTCAACATGTCGGTCCGGGGGGGAAGGGCATTGTTAGTAATGTGGACTGATGATCCCATTGCTAGCAATGTACCATGTCAGGTCACCTCCACGCGGTTCCCCCTGGAAACCATCGTGATAAATTCCTGCTGAATTTGTCACGATAGTCTAACTGACCTGACTTCATCCTCATCGATTTATCCCTAAAAACCACATATATACCATATTTTTGAGCAGTAATGAGTGAGAAAGCGAGCGTTAAATAAGCGGTTAAAATGTCCTATATGAATAAATGATTTTTGAATTTATTAGATAGTAATAAATATTAATTTAATTTCACTTGTGCCCTGCCAGCGTATATCATTAGCGCTAACGAGTTCACCATTCAGATTTGTTTTAGACCTCTTAAAAGTTTATAGGGTAAGGTACTACACCTTTAGTATAGTATGAATTCTAGTTAGACATATTTTTTATGCCACAGATTATATAGGGTCATCATTTCCCGCCAACTCGCCACCTAGTAGCACTCCTGTATTTCCGCTTTCATTGATTTAAGTTTTTAGGGTAAGGTAAGTATTACAGCTTTAGTATAGTATGAATTCTAGTTAGACTTATTTTTGTGCCACAGATTAGATAAGGCCACTGATATTTCCCGTCAACTCGCGACTCAGTAGCAGTCCTGTATTCCCGCCATTATTGATTTAAGTTTTTGGGGTAAGGTACTACAGCTTTAGTATAGTATGAATTCTAGTTAGACTTATTTTTGTGCCACAGATTAGATAAGGCCACTGATATTTCCCGTCAACTCGCGACTCAGTAGCAGTCCTGTATTCCCGCCATTATTGATTTAAGTTTTTGGGGTAAGGTACTACAGCTTTAGTATAGTATGAATTCTAGTTAGACTTATTTTTGTGCCACAGATTAGATAATGCAACTGATATTTCCCGCCAATTCGCGACTCAGTAGCAGTCCTGTATTCCCGCCTTTATTGATTCAAGTTTTTATTTAGACTTATTTTTTGTGCCACAGATTCGATATGGCCACCGATATTTCCCGCCAACTGGCGACCAATTCGCACTCCTGTATTCCCGCTTTTATCGATTAAATTTTTTTGGGGTAAGGTTTAGTATAGTGTGAATTCTAATTAGACTTATTTTTTGTGCCAAAGTTTAGATAAGACCGCTCGTATTTCCCGCCAACTCGCGACCCAGTAGCACGCCTGTATTCCCGTCATTATTGATTTATGAAACTTTGTGTTAATACTATTCATAACATGAGAATAATATTAGTTAGTAGTATTCTCACCTCATGAATAACATTGTTAGTTAGTCCGAGCACGCATTGTTGATTGTTGTAAACCAGAGACTATATTTCTTTTTTTTTTATTCTGTCACTTAAAATAGGCAATGAACATAGGCGATTCTGCTTAGTCTTAGTAGTAGTGCTTGTAATGATTAGACCAATAATATCTTAACTATAATATGTTTAAAAAAATCTGAAATATAAAATTAACAGACAGACAAACTCGCTATTTGCGATTCTGTTTTGTCTTCTTGACTCAGAATCCTTAAAATAACAATGAAAAGTATTTTTTTTGTAATTGTCGCCTATATACATAAACAATATCACCCTTTATGCATTGTCAATTTGGAGGACTAAGGTACCATGCATGTACAGCTTTCAAAGCAAGATAATTGGCGGCTAAAATTATTATAGTAAAGTAAAACCCACGGAGACGAAAAATTTGAGATAGACTGCTTTTAATTATTTATACCCTTCAGATTTGTCAGGCCAGTATGGCCAGACAAACGTGACCACTCGTTGTCTATGGGTGCGTCGGTGTCGTAAAACTTCCATATATAGTCAAGGGTATATTAAGATTTCTTATGGGTTAACAACGCGGACTTGACACCACGGGTTTTTCAGGCGTCCATAGGCTACGGTAACCGTTTACCGTCAGATGGACCGTATCCTTGTTTGCCACCATCGTAGTATAAAAAAATATGCTGACATATCAGTTACAATTTTATGACTGTAATATCTGTGGCCGTATCCACAGCATCTAAGCAATTCATCGGATCTGTAATTAGCAGTGCAATTTAATTTCAATTCCCCGTCCAGATGTGCGCATCAATTTGTGGTGGAACTTGGTGGAGCCATC